CAAAGAAGGATGACTAGAGAGGGAATCAATCTCCGAAGCCCTACCCCCCTTGTCCGGACCATGGCATGTAGCCCCTCGTGAGATCAGAGCGCAAAGCACGAAGCAAGAGCAACCCAGGGTGCAGGAGACTGGGGCAGGGGTTATGTGGGAAGGGGAGGACTGTGCTGCAGCTCACACAGGTCCCGGGAGGCCCGGGGCCTGGATCTCGGGGCTCAGTGCACAAGGACAGGGGAAGAGGCAGTAGCATGGCATGTGGAGTTGGTGGGGCGTGAGCGGGGCGGGGCCTGTGACATGGGGGCGGGATCTGCAGGGCGGGGCGCGCAGGGGGGAGTGGATTGGGTCTCAGGGGAGGGGGCGGGGCCTGTGGCAGTGGGCGGGATCAGCAGGACGGGGCGCGCAGGGGAGAGTGGATTGGGTCTCAGGGGAGGGGGCGGGGCCTGTGGCAGTGGGCGGGATCAGCAGGGCGGGGCGCGCAGGGGGCAGTGGATTGGGTCTCAGGGGAGGGGGCGGGGACTGTGACAGTGGGCGCGGTTCGCGGAGAGCAGGCCGGGACCAGCGAGCAGCCATTGCGTGGAGGTGGGCAGGAAGGACACTCTGGGGCTCAGCAGCTCCAGGCTCAGGTGGGGAAACTGAGGCCCCAGACCCATCTGATGCAGCGCTGATGGGACTCCCTCGCTTGACTTATGACTTTAGTCTTTAAAATATACTTTTTCTGCTCCCGAGCTCCGCAGAGCTCCCCCCTCCCATCGCTGCGCGTGGACAGAGGGCCAGGCCGAGCACACACGTCACATCCTTGGTGCTGCAGCTTGGGACGTGAGACTGAGAACTGGGCATCCCTAGTCCAAGATAAGCACCCGACGTTGATGACTGATGCTGGGGAGGAGGCAGAGTCCCGCAAACCTAGACACAGCTCACACTAAGGTGCCGCACGCTTTGGGTGGGGAGTGAGCTAGAGCCACCTTCCATTTAGGGGATGGCCTGACCTGCCAACCCTAAGGGCAGAGCTGAAAGGGATTCTGGGGATGCGAGGGGGCGGGCCGGGGCGAAGATTCACTGTAACTCTCAGGTTCTGTTTCACGTGCAAGTATTGTTTGGGTAAAATTAAAATGTAAACACATCAACTTCCTAATCTCATTTTAAAAAATTTAAACTTTTCAAACAGTAACCAAGACAGCAACACTGTATACTGCCATTTAGCTGTATACTTTACCATTCAAGAAATGCCAAGAAAATTTCATGCAGTTGAGAATTCCCAAATTCAAGGCACAGCCTTAAGCGTGCTAGGGCTTACCTGAAATTTTTTTTCTGGGACATTAAAGTTTAGTTCAAAAGAAGACAATGTAATTAAGATACCCCTGTTGGAATTTTCCTGCCATGTGAATGACCTAAAACATATTCCCAGCAGCTAGTTTATGACAAATGTGCTTGACTTGAAAGGAAGCTCACGCCCACTTTTTGGACATTCATTTCCTGTTCCTGTGATCCACAGGGCAGGACTCCCTAGAAGGCTCTAGCGGCTTCTTCAGATTAAAACTAGGATGGCTTTATACAAATTATATAAACAAACCCTCCACCTGAAATATTTAAATATCAGATAAAGCTGACAGTCCCTTGAGCACCATGGTGTCCCTAATCACGCTGCCTTGCAAAGGAGGGTCACTGTGAAGGAAGTCCTTTCAGCCCTTTCTGGGGGATTTGCATACATGTGTGGAGATGGCTTTACGCTAATAATTTTATGGTTGAAATAATCATGTTGAGTTCAGGGGGTGGGGGTGTGAGGGGCAGAGTACAACTGTAGGGATAGAAGGCAGCTAATGTAAATCCAAGAGCCCAAGTAAAAAAGCGAGTGGCTTGAATAGCCCGGGCAAGCGCACCGCCCCATCCATTCATTCACACATCAGACATCTTTACTGAGCATGCTCCCAGGTGTCAGGCGTCACCTCTGATGTGCACAGCCACCCAGACTGCTGGCCACAAGCTGCTCTTCGAGCCCTGCTGGGTGTCTCCCCTCAAACCCGTTTGTAAGTGAGCCCGCTTCCTGGGCCTGCTACTCTCCCCTCCTCCTGCTAGACTCGCCCGCCATGGTCCCCTCACCTGCCTTGGACACTTAAAACCCTCTTGACTGGTTCTCTTGGCTAACTCCTCCCACTGGAATCTGATCTCCATCTATAGCAGTGGTTCTCAACCTTGGCTGCACATTAGAATCACCTGGGAATATTTTTAAAATCCTGATTTCTGGGCCTCATCCTCCAGAAATTCTGTTTCTTTGTTACTAATGTTGTGGCCCCACCCCATATTATTCCCAGTGCGTAAAACAGTGCTTAGCACAGTGGGCGCTCAATAAGAACTGTGGGGAAACGGAACCCATGCGTTCATTGGATCGGTAGTTACTGAGCAGCTACTATATGTCAGGCACTGTTCTAGGCACAGGACAAGGGAGTGGATGAATGAATGGATGTAGAGTGAAAATCCACAGCCCCACTTACCAGCCTCCCTTCTCAGCCAGAGCACGAAGCCAGTGCCATCCACTCTGCCTGACCCCAGGCCTTTTCCTGCAAACCTTGGTTTCTTATCTTGGTCCCAAGTGCCCCAGCTTGGTATCTGACTTATAACCTCCTTGGTAACAGAACAAAAGAGTCAGAAACAAAGGCTGTAGTAGACTGGATTAATGCTTTTATTAATGATAACATTCATACTACATTTCTAAGATTTACAACCAAAAGATCATATTGTATTTACATGCAATGGACAGTCTAAGCTAACAAATTCAAACCACAGCTCTGGTTAAGACCATGGTTTGTTCCAAATTAAATTAAATACATAATACTCTTACCTCTTCCTTTGAACATGTACAGTAAAAACCCACTCTTCCATCTTTTAAGGAATATAAAAATTGCATTGACAACTGCACTGATTAGCAAAAATATTTAAAACCTGAGAGATAAGCCCAAATATATTTGAGTGCTAACACGTGTACATTTGAACGCTTGGTAACACAGACTGGTCAGTGGTCAATAATGCGTGATGCAGGCGGCTCGGAGGGCCTGCCGGGGCTCGGCCTGGGGCCCACGCCGCCGGAGCTGTGTACCACAGATGAACTGGGGTTTTCCTCACTATGGTGGTGTGTTTTTCTTTCTGTTTTCATTTCTTCTCGCTTTAAGAGAAAAAAAAAAACCTCTCTGGCCCACTCAGATGGGGTTTTTACATGACAACCTAGACACAGTAAACCATGCCCGAGCTCCGTGGCCGGCACCTTCTCCTCCTCCAGTCGTTCCGCCCTCACAGAGGCAAGCCCAGCGGGGACAAGTGGTCAGGAAACAAACACAATTCTTTAAGTGGACAGCCACACTCGCCAGGAAGCCGAGACAGTGGTGTTTCAAATTCCGGGATCCTTTCTTTTTACATTAAATACTGAGGACGATTCAGTGCGTACGTGTTTTTTGGTCACTCACCCTCTCTTGGTAAGGCACGCCCATCTGAAGGGTAGGTTGTGTGAAACCAGCACCCATCACGCGCAACGTTTTTTAAAAATACATTTTTGCAGATTTCAGGGAGAGGAAGAGAGAGAAACATCAATGAAGAGAGAGAATCATCGATCAGTTGCCTCCTGTACATCCCCACTAGGGATCGAGCCCACAACTGGGGCATGTGCCTGACTGGGAATCAGACCTCAACCTCTGGTTCATGGGTCGACACTCAGCCACAGCCACAATGGTCGGGCTCGCTCGCGACACTTTCGCTGGTTCCCCAGCTCCTCGGGACACAAAGTGGGTGCTCTCTCGCCAGGCGGGATAGACAGCTCCCCGCCCGGCGCATCGGCGCTGCCCTCTCCAGACACTTTGCTCAAGTTTTGTTCCTTTCTCGGGGGCAGAAGTCTCGTCTGCTTGCCGTGAGTTTGGTAAGCAGTACGAGGCACACGGTATGTTTTATTGTTCAGGGGAGGCTCCAGACACGCAATATTGAACCATCCAAAGTCCCCATTTCTGACGCACGTCCACTCGCTCTCAAGGCAGGAAGCGGGGTGGGGGAGCCCACAGAGCTGCCCTCAGAAGGGCGCCGGTCTTTCTCGGGGTACGGGAACCACAGGAAAATGCCTGTTTAGGGTTATCCACTCAGTAAACTGAGGAGTCAGACTCCCACAATTCCACCTAAAGACTAAAAATAAATCCCTTGTCCGGTCTCCCTTACATTTAGGGCCTTCCGTGATTAAGGCACTGGGATCTGAATACTCACAAGGTCGGGAAAACGAAAGATGCGCGAACTACATGCTTGCAACGCGGACAGGCGAACACACACACACGAGACCAAACTGGACGAGGACGGTGACCACAGGGACAGACGGTGTTCGGCAGCACAGCGTTCCCGTTAGTGCGTTACGTGTGCGTCAGCTGTTGGCTGCCAACACCTCCAGCCCACAGCGCTTTCTCCCCGGACGGACAGAACACACTTTAGTTTTACTCTGAAAAAATTAAACGCCCCTAAGTACCAGGTCGCCGCCGAG